TTTGGCTTAAAATTTGTATTTTTCTTATGGAATTAATTTCTTTAGCCGTATTGATTGTATTGTATTGCTTGTGGCTAGATTCGGGACGTTTGGAGGCCGATTCGCGAGGCAAGGGCATTTTGGAGTAGAGTTTTAGGCTCGGATTGAGGTAAGTAATAGTTTTAAATCTGGTCCTGAGGGTATGAAACCCCGAATTTTATTGTTACATGATTGTTTGGCGGTGACGTACATGCTGGGTGACGGGCGTGTGGGCGTGCACCGTAGGAATTGTGACTTGGACCATTCCGTGGAACTGTAAAGTTGAATAACTTATTGTTAGTTATATTCTCTCCCTGTGTTATAGAAATTTGACTGCAAATCATGTTAGGAGTCATGCTTAGGCTATGTGACTACGTTATTGGGAACCGTAGAGGTCGTGTACTCGTTGAATTAATTGCTAATTGTTGTTTTGTACTCAGTCACGGTTTACATTATATTATCTTTGTTTGGGCTAATTATTTTTATGATTTCTGAGAGCTCGAGAGACTGGAGAGGTCGGTGACTGAGCTAGGGCCTGAGTGCCGAGCTATGAGCTATATGTATATATATATATATGGATAGGTTGCACGCCGCAACGAGTCTTAGGGTTGTATATATGGATCGGATTGCACGCCGCAACGAGCCTTATGGCTATTTATATGGGATCGGGCTGCACGCCACAGTGATATAACGCACGGGCTGAAGGAGCCCCTCCGGAGTATGTACACCCCCAGTGAACGCAGGTACCTATTGAGTGGGAATGATGAGAGTTGAGAGCCGAGTGATTGAGCTATTGAGAATGGTTGAGTGACTGTTGCCCTGAGAGGCTGTACTTGCTTTCATTTGTTGTTGCACTTAGCTGCTATATGTCACTGTTTTGAAACTCCTAAAAGATATTGTATCCGGTTTTACTTGAACTTGGTAATGTATAAACTGATTTTACTTAAATTGCCGGATTTGGAAGCATGTCTACTTTATTGCCGAGATTACTGAAAATAAACTAAAATTATAATGCTCGTCACTATCTTTCAGTTCCTTATTTATTATTGTTACTTACCGAGTTGGTTGTACTCACGCTATACCCTGCACTTCGTGTGTAGATCCAGATGTTTTTAAATGCGGAGAGTGTTGATATTTCGCGTAGCTGACTGTTGGAGATATCGAGGTAGCTGCTTGGCGTTCGCAGACCTTGTTTCTCTTTCCTTATCCTTTCTTTCGTTGTATTTGGATCCAAACAATTACAGTCATTTCATTTCTAGACTGATTATGTATAGATTCTCATGGCTTAGTGACAACCCGATATTGGGAGCTATTTCCGCACTTGTATTTTGAGTTTTACTCCCTTGTTTATGAAAACTTTGCCTATTTCAAATGTCTTGATTTATTTTTCTGTTAAATATTTGGAGTATTTGGAAATGACGGCTTGCCTAGTACCATCGATAGGCTCCATCACGACAAGTTATGATTTTGGGTCGTGAAAAATAGCTTTTAAAAATAAATCTGATCATGACGGAACGAGAGGTTTAATGAAGCATATGCAACTTCATCACAAAGATGTTTGGCTTGCTAGGGAGAGGGGTCCCCCTTGTTAAACAAATCCTACTCAGTCGGGGCACGATTCTCATACTGTACAACCGCAAATTAACCCTGTGATGGGAGGTTTTCTCCATTATGACCAAAAAAAGGATAGAGAAAATATAGCAAAAATGGTTGATGCAGAGGTCTTGCCTTTTAGTTTACCGTCATCTGACAGGTTTGTTCGTTACATACAAGAAACCTATAACCCTGCTTTTCAAGTTTTGCCTATAACAAATGTTAGAAGTGAAATACATTATAACTTGTATTAAAAATCTAATGTTTACATTGAATAAAATAAAATAAAAGGCACTTCATAGCCTTGAACGTTTTTCATCCATTAAAGTTTGTTTGTATTTAAATATAATTTTTTTAACTTTTAATTTAAAATTATCCTTAAGTACCGTTTTTCGCTCCATCAAGTACGGATAGGGGTACTAGTAGGGTACCAAAAAAATATTCTTAACCTATACCCTCAAGGAACCTTCCCCTTACCCTTACCCTTACCATTACCCTCCTTTCACAAAGCTCAATAATGATGAGCCAAAAAAAAATAACGGAAAAGGGAAATTTCAGATCTTTTTTGGGCAAAATTGAAACAATCAAAAGGGCCACTTTGTCAAAAAAATCCAAAATAAGAAATTGAAAACGTAACTTCAAATAAGTCTCAAATATAGTCTACTAATGAACTCAACAGAGAAGGTAAAACAAGCATTCTGGATATGAATCATCACTGATTTTCCTACTTCTAAATTCAAATAAGGTGCTCATTATTTTTCTGCACTTCTGCCATTCTCACTGACAAATATACCATCAAAAAACTTTCGAAAAATTTCAAATCTTGAGCAACCAAAACCAAAGGCAAAATGGGAGAAGGTTAAGAAGGCAAAATAAGGGGAGGGAAGACGAAATCAGGTGGAGAAGAAGACAAAAGGTGGAGGGGAAGGGGCATCTGTAATATTATTCTCGCGGTCAACAGGTGTGGAAGAGAGATTTGTCTACAAAGATCCATGGATAAACTATGTATTTTAATTTGTGTGAGGCATTTCTTTTGATATCTTTTTATTCAGGTGCTCTTTTCTATAAACTTAAATTAAATTAAATTATAATATTTCTCTGTCAGAGATTAAAAATCTATTAAGTTTAGAATTCAAATCTGGCATCAATCAGAACGAAATTTTAAATATTTTTACATTCATATAAACTGTTCAACAAGAGTATTACGCTTCCAATTCACAAAGGGTGGCATATTGATTGGTGGGCAGGGGTGTATATATCTTGCCCCAACTGATATAATAAAACACTATTTTGTCAAAAAATTATAATGTATATTATGTATCGATAATGAGTAAAATAAAAATATTGAATATAAATAAGAAATGACATTGCCTATTATTATAATAATTTATTTATTTATTTACTTCTTCAAATATACACCAATTAAAAAAAATCCTATGTACATCTTTGCAAATAGTTCGAGCCTTCGATATGGAGGCGTATGCCAGACATTTTTTATGACTCTGGATCTATTTGGCATGCACACTTGGAACATCCAAGTCATGTTATCTTAGATTTACTTTGATCTAGAAAGTTGATTTCATTTCCTAGGCCATTTTCTAGTTCTTTTACTTGTAACTCTTGTTTAAGTTCTAAACATTCGGCTTTGCCGTTTCCTTTAAGTACTTAAACTACTTCTTATGTTTTAGAATTAATTCATTCTGATGTTTGGCAGTCTCCTGTGCTCTCAGTTAGTGGTTATCGTTATTATGTTCTTTTTATTGTTGATTTCACTCGTTATACTTGGATTTATCCTCTTCCTCTTAAAAGTAATGTAATATCTTGTTTTACACACTTTAAACTTCTTGTTGAAAATCAATTTGGTGGGTCTATTAAGGCATTTCGTTCAGATGGAGAGGGTGAGTATCAAAGTTTTTCCTTTATCTCCCTTCTCCGATCTCATGGTATTCATCATCAGTTGTCTTGCCCTCACACGCCTAAACATAATGGTGTAGTAGAGCGCAAGCACCGTCATATCCCTGATGTTGCACTTTACTTTACTTTTCATGCTCATGCACATCTTTCTTTGTGGGTAGAAACTTTTCTTAGTTCTGTTCACCTTATTAATCGTCTTCCGTTTCCCTCCCTAGCTAAGCGCTCTCCCTGTGAAATTTTCTTTGGGGTTCTACCTGATTACACTATTCTAAAACCCTTTGGGTGTCTTTGTTATCCTAATCTATATCTTTATCATTGTCATAAACTTGACTCTCCTTCTTCTCCTTGCGTGTTTTTGGGGTATAGCTCTAGTCACAAGGGATAGCAGTGTTTACATCTTGATACTAACCGTGTTTATATCAGTCGTTTTGTTCGCTTTATTGAGCATTGTTTCCATACGCAAATAGGTATTCTTTTCTACCTGCACGTCCTTCTGTGCCTCGTGTCCTCCTTCCTACACCTGCTGCATTGTCTAGTCCTACCTCTATAGAATCTGTGGAATCTGCTTGTTCCTCCACAACCACCAGTCCCTCCACTTCTGATTCTACTCACCCTATGATTACTCGATCTAAGTGTGGCATGGTTAACCAAAATCCAAAGTATGCTCTTAATTCTATGTCTATGACTAATGCTTGTTGAGCCTACTTATTTTAGCTCAGCTGTTAAGGATGCTAGATGGAAAAGTGCTATGGCAGAGGTGTTCAATGCTTTACTTGAAAATAAGACATGATTTTTTGTTCCTCGGCCTTCTGGTGTTAATATTATTGGCTGTAAATGGGTCTATTGTGTAAAGAAGAAGTCTGATAGATCCCTGGATCGATGTAAGGCACGATTGGTGGCTAAAGGTTATACACAAGCCCCATGTGTGGATTATGGTGAGACATTTAGTCTTGTTGTTCGCCCTACCACCATACGTTTGGTACTCTCTATTGCTCTTTCTCGTGGTTGGACTATTCGTCAGTTTGATGTAAAAAAATGCCTTCCTTAATAGTTTTTTGCATGAGTCTGTCTATATGGAGTAGCCACAGGGATTTATTGATTCTCTTCAACCAGACTATGTTTTCCAATTGCATAAAGAATTATATGGTTTTAAGCAAGCGCCTCGTGCTTGGTTTAGTAGGTTTGGCTATTTTCTGTTATCTCACGGGTTTCATAATAGTTGTGCAGACTATTCTATGTTTGTTTATTCATCCGGTGGCCATTATCTTTTTCTTTTATTATATATGGATGATATTGTACTTACTGGCTCTAACCCTCGCTTGATCTCTTGGTTTTCTGGATTACTCCACTCTGAGTTCTCTATTAGTGATCTTGGTGAACTTCATTATTTTTTGGGAGTTCGTGTCACTTGCCTGGATGATGGTTTACATCTCTCTCAAAGTAAGTATGCTTGAGATATTCTTGATAGTGCTGGTATGCTACAAGCAAAGCCTGCCACTACAACATGCTCTTCTCGCTCTCCTGGTATTGAGAATTTTGGTCCTGTTGACTCTACCTTATATCGTAGTTTGGTAGGTGTTTTACAATATTTATCTTTAACACGTCCAGACATTGATTTTGCTATAAATACAGTTAGTCAGCACTTGCATGCTCCTACTTCTGGCCATTTTGCTGTTATTAAACGCATTCTGCATTATATTGCTGGCACTCTTGACTTTGGATTAGCGCTGAAGCGAAGTTCTACTTTTTCTCTTACTGCATACTTTGATGCTGATTTGGCTGGTTGTCCTGACACTCGATGGTCTATCACTGGGTCCTTTGTATTCTTTGGCCCAAATCTTATTTCTTGGTCTTCCAAGAAGCGACATACTGTTTCTCGTTCCAGCACTGGGGCATTATTCTATCAGGAAGAAGACGCACGGGGTTGGGGGTTGGGGCGGGGAAGAAGACAAGAGTGGGAGGGGTTATTTTTTATTTATTTATTTGTTAATTAGTGTAAAAAGGAAAAAAGAAACTTAAAATTTGGACACGTGGATTCTTTATAAAACTTCTGACATAAAATTTTTAGAATTTACGTTTTATGTGTAGAACACGCGGATGCCATATAGCTAAAGTGACGTGTTACTGTGTCATTAACAACCTTTTGAAAGGTTTGAGTGTGTTATATAATTCCCGCGGTCAACAGGTGTGTAAGAGAGATTTGGGTACAAAGATCCATGGATAAACTATGTATTTTAATTTGTGTGAGGCATTTCTTTTGATATCTTTTTATTCGGGTGTTCTTTTCAATAAACTTAAATTAAATTAAATTACAATATTTCTCTATCAGAGATTAAAAATCTATTAAGTTTAGAATTCAAATCTGGCAGCAATCAGAACGAAATTTTAAATATTTTTACATTCATATAAACCGTTCAACAAGAGTATTACTCTTCCAATTCACAAAGGGTGGCATATTGATTGGTGGGAAGGGATGTGTATATCTTGGCCCAAGCGGTATAACAAATAACTATTTCGTCGAAAAATGATACAATACAGGTACATTATGTATCGATAATAAGTAAAATAAAAATATTAAATATAAATAAGAAATGGCACCGCTCATTATTATAATAATTTATTTATTTATTTATTTACTTCTTCAAATATACACCAATTACAAAAAACATCCTATGTACATCTTTGCAAATAGTTCGAGCCTTCGATAGGGAGGCGTATGCCAGACATTCGTTTTATAAACCGCTCCTTTTCAATTTAGATGATATATTTTACTTAAATTACTATGGACCCCTTTCTAACTTGTTTAGTACCATAAATTCCAAAAGTCTTCACTTATTCTTAAACTTCATGTCCAGTCAATTAGTTCACATAAATTGGAACGGAGGGAGTAGTACTTTTCGTATAGTTTCTGTATATCTAAATTTTAATTTAAAATGTTGAATTGAACTTATACAATTTAGCTTCAAAATTTGTCAAACTGATTCTTGGTAAACAAAATGTGTCATCTAAATTGAAAAAATAGAATGCTATGTAATATCTATTTTTTTCTTTTCTTAATACATATTATATTTAGGTTGGGAATTCACTTCAACGGTCATTTAAATTAAGTTAATTACAGAGTAAAGTCAATTCTTTTGTGTCACTATAAAATCTTCCAAACTTAACCTTCCTAGAAAGTCATTACATCCGGAAAACCAGTTTTTTTTTTTGTGTGTGCCGGAAAGATTAACCCGGCATGCCATGTGTGATGTGACTTACTAAACATTCAAATTTCTCAAATGGTCATTCCATCTTACGAAGTTTTGCAAAATCTTCATTTATTTTTTAAGTAAACTACGTCTTATGTCAATAATATTTACTTGATAAATATTTTTTCTTTCACCAAATAACAGAAGGCAGATTACCGAGAGCATGTGAAGAATTAACAAGCCTCTAGAAGTTTATAGAGAAAGGTTACATGTCATTCCTGTAGTGATGTGAAGGTATAGAGAACATATATTAAAACATAGCATGAAGAATGTCAAAAAAAACTTGACTGTTATAATAAAGTGATTATAAAGGATGTCCTATATAGAGACTTCTCACTATACTTCGTTCAAGGAAAAAAGAAGTTTCACTCCATTTTGACTAAGATTTAAGGGAAGGTGTAATATGGCCATTAATTTGGCTTCTTCTTAAGTGGGGGGCAAATTTTCATGACATTTGTCATGACATAATATCCACTATAACAAAATTTGTGGATCATGACATTTACCCTGATATAATATCCACTATTAGGCCAAGAATTTCTTGTTATAAATAGAAGAGCTTCTCCTCATTTGCAAACACACCAATTTAAGAGTTTTTCACTCTTGTCTTTCTTTTTTCTCCTTTATTTTATTATAGAGTATTTTGTAAGAGAGTGAGTGTTGGGAAACACTTGTGTGAATCCTATCTTTGGAGTGATCTTGTAAGGTTATTCTCTTGGGGTATTTAGGACTAATTAAAGTATTTACTCTAATTTTGTACTCTTGTTGGTATAGTAAAATTGCTCCTCTCCGCTTGTGGACGTAGGTCACCTTGACCGAACAACGTTAAATTTATGTCTTCTTTATCTTCTTTAATTGTTGTTATTATCAACTTGCATTGTCTTTTTTATTGTTATTATAACGTTGTTTGGCTAAATTTCGCACTACCCGATAACTCAATCCTAACAAATTGGTATCAGAGCCAGATCTAACCGGGTTAGTTTAAATAGCCAAAATGACTCTAATAAAGTCTTATGTTGAGAAATTTGACCAAAGTACAAACTTCGGAATGTGGCAATTACAGATGGAAGCTATCCTAATTCAGGATGGCTTAGATTTGGCACTGCAAGGAAAGGAGAAGATGCCGGATAAAATTACGGACGAGGAGTTTGCCGTCACAGACAAAAAGGCAACAACATGTATTATTTTAAATCTTTCAAATGAGGTTTTGCGTGAAGTTGCAGCAGAAAGCTCAGC